TCAAAGCCATGAGAAGCCAATTTTCTAGGCTCATATGGCTATCGCTCGTCAGCAACAGCAGTCTCAAGCGAACCGATTCAGTTCAGTAGAACATCAGCTCATTGAAGGAGATCAGGTTTTAATTACTACTGATGGGCAAATTGTGGACGACAAGGTTTATGTACAGGTATACTTTGCCTTTCATATTTTACACCTTTTACGGTTTTGCTACTATTGAGTCCTCCAAATCATGTTTGAAGTGCATCGTTTAGCCGTCACAACTGATTGATGAAAAGGCGTTGCATGAAATGCTAATTACTGGTCTCGATGCAAATGGGCAGCCTGTCGAATTGCGAACGGTGGACGGTACGCTCATTCGGGGAGAAGAGCAATTACGGTGCAGATTTTCAAGATGCATTCATAGCATCACATGGCATTTCAATTACCGAGTTTAAGGGCTATCACCAATGGACAACCTTTCCTTATTCATCCTCAGCCACTGCCTTTATCCAGTGTAGATGAGCAAAACAAACAGATGACATTCGCCAATTCTCAAGAACACGTATGACATCAATTCATTCAGTCTCATTTTGTAACCTCTGCACTAACTCGTTGTTGTTTAAGATAGAAATGGTTCCCTCGTCATCTTCTATGGTGTTGGAGCCATCTCACGCGCTCTATGCATCTCATGAAATAGTCATCGATGACATGGTGAGTTACTTTCCTATACGTGAAAGTACGTTAATTTGAAAAAGAAGCTCAAAGGAGAGTCGGAGCATTCCTTCTATTTCCAGCACAAGGTGTGCATTGTGAAAGGCTATAGAGGTTGTAAAGTGACATGTTTTGGAAAATGACATGTTTCCCGAAAAGAGGCCATCTTTGAAGTTTGTGGTATGTCAATGTGGCTGCTCAATAACGCAGCGTCACGTCTGTATTAAACGAGCTTAAAGCCTTCGACTTGTCTGCTGGCTTTTTCTCTTCGGTCATGTAACTGTCACATCGGTAGCGTAGAGGGTCTATTAACGTGCACTGTTTTAGGTTGAGGTGGGTTTCGGTCGAATGGGTTCGCATGGTCTTTGCCCAAATACTTTTTCTCTCCATGCAGCTTCTTCACATGTAAAGTGTTGTTCTATTGTAATGACGAATGCAGTTGGATTCCCCTCTGAGAAGGTCGTGGTTTTGCTCTCCCTGCTCCTCGGTGCACCCCTGGCCTACCATAAATACTGAACCTTCATCCTTTTGCTTGCCTTAACCACTTGCCTTCGGATCTTGAATGTTTTTGAAAAGAATTAGGCATTCAATTACCATGTTCCATTGAGCACTACGCTCTGCTTGGAGCTTCGCTAAGATCGAGCCTGCAAGACCACCCTATAGCTTGTTCATCTCTATCGAATCTTGTGGCCGGGGGCTGTATCGAAGGCTTTCCTTGGTACCCTCACCCACGCTCTTAGAAAACGCTCCCCCTGACACCTGAGTGGGTTTTCTTCATCTTATCTGACAACTTTATCGTTCCTCAAATATCAACCTTGTTCTTTTAGCGCCCCCACGCGATTGACTTCCGTTTAGAGTTGTATTGGCGTGAGGCTTTTGGTAGCCATCTGATGTGCAGGTCAGCGCTTTATTCCTCCCAAGCGAGTGTGATGCGAATTAACCAACTCTGGAGGGTTAAGGACATTTATCGATACAGGGTTTGATCCCCATAACATGTGTGTAGTAGTGGCACATAGGTAACTAGATCACTGCTGAACTTGCCCTTTTTTAACAGTATGTTCTTACTGCGATATATGGGTGCAGCTCCAGTAGGGACCATAGCCCCGTCATCTTGAGATTATAGAATGGTGATATTGGAGGAAACGGCAATTTGAACTTGCGCTTATCCTTAGATATACTGTCCCCTTCACGATGTGTGCTGAAGCCGTGTTTGTCGCACTCATATTGGAGCCAGAGAGGATCATTTTCTCCGACTTTTACGCAGTGGTTACGCAGGTTCTAGTCGCTGGCATCTCATATAGTGAGGAGATCAATGATTTTTAATCAATTCGTTCTTCTCAACAGAAAGAAGTAGGGGTTGCCAGTGGATCAGAGCGCTTTGCAGGGAACTACCAAAGACATATACCACTAGGAAGTGGTGTTATCGTACATCTTAAAGATGGGAAGGAACCTACTAACATTGAGCCTCCTCGAAACATGTTAAGTAAGGAAGGTAGTGGGCTACAGAAGTTTTTGGCTTTCCTTACGGAACCTCTTAAGTTTTATCTTTTTTTTTGTGAATGTTATTGTGATCCGCAATAGTTTTCACATGAACCAACATTTGCTCGAATCTATTTCAGCCGGAGTCATCTCAAACGAATCTCCGTTTCCAACCGCAGCCTCAGCCAGAATCACTGCGTCGAGTGTCTGCTCCTTTATCGTTGGATGGAAGTCGTAATACGAGTGGTTTAACGCTAGCGGAGCGGAATGAAATCAGCAAAGCGAAGCGCGCAGAAAGAGCAAGAATACGGTAAATAATCACGCTCATGTTCGTTCGTTGTTTGATGGGCAATTCGTCCAATTTTAGGTATCACAGTATGCGACCAGAAATAAGGCAACAACAAAATGCTAAGCGTGCCGAGCTACTGCGCAAGGTTGGTGTGCATTGATAATCCGATTATGAAGAAATTGAGAAATTGACTTGGATGAACGTTACTCTTTTTACCTATCATTGATGATCAAGTTCCCATAAAAGTAAACTGTAGCGCTCAATTTTTTATCTTCCCGTACTCTTTTTCCAGGCCCGTCAACGAGATGAGGAGTTATGCCATTTGGCTGAAACCTGCCAGCTAGATACGCTCGACGATGATACGCGACGAGCTATCGCAGAAGCGCAAATGAGACGAGCAAGAAGAGCTGAGCAGGCGAGGGCGAAGTACCACCGCATGAACAGGTTCGTCGTGCCTTGAGAACTCATTGGCTTTTTATTTCAATTCTGTACCATGAGCGTTTAGTGAGGAACGAAGGCAGTACAACGCGATGCGAGATGCTCAAAGACGTCAAAGAAAGCGAGCGCAGGAAGAAGCGCGTCAGCGGGCCCAATTGAATGGTAAGGATTCCCATGGCAAAAAACTGTTTCTTCCATGGTTATTACGATTTCAGAGGTACTATCAACAGAAACCGGTCTCAGTCCACACTCAATGTCACCATCAGTGAATGAGTCGATCTCGCCCAATGATCACGGTTTATCGCCCGGTAGTGCAGAACCTGGTCAGATTATCTATTCAACCTACGAAATGTACCAAGAGCCAATGACCCAATGGGAACAGTAAACTTCCCTTCACAATTGTAATTACTTTACAAAGTTGTTATTTCCGCAATGTTGCTATATTTTAACCAGTTTCTCATTGTTATTTGTTTTCTCCGGAATGACGTTTCGCAAGTATATCCTCATCTCTCTAACGCTTGTCGTATGTTTTAAAAGCGATATGTGAGGGTCGTTAATCAGTCAAATAACCTCTCCATTTCGCCTGATTCTACGTGTTGCGCTTTGCGCAGTCTTCAGTGGGTGTTTGATTGTTTTTTTTTAGTCTTGTCCCTTAGCAAAGTGGAATAATTTTTTCCGTTCTCCCTCGAACTACGCCAAACGTCAAAAACTGTGCCCAGTTTCCTATTCCTAATAAGCTTATTCCGATTCCTCTTTTTTTGGAATAGGAGTGTGAGTTTAAAATGTTCCAATATGACATGACATAATTTGAGGAAAGATCGTTGTTTTACTTTATTATTTTTTTCTGAGAAACGGGTTTTCACCATATATCCCGTGAATGCACTTTTTGTCACTGCTTATAATTTCGCATAGGGTGGTGTATATAAGTTGTTTTTCTGAGTTTTTTATTTTAGAGTGAGTATGAATAAGTAGCTTATGTATTTTCCTGATGAAATGAACTTCGTATCAACTTACAATTAGTTACTTGCTCGAAGTAGACGAAAGGCACGTCACAGGTTGCCATTTACCTTAGGTCTATGTTGGGCGGTGATGGTCCAGGGATTTCCGTTTGGGGAACAACAGAAAACAACCAAAGCAGAAGCATCGCTGCCGCGGCTGTTAAGGGGGGTCCGAGAACTTCTCCCTAAACACGGCGTCACACACGCCGCACCCACCGCGTATCGCAGGATTGCGATGGAAGATTGGGAGCGCACTTTGTGAGATAGGGAGTCCTTTGATTATTTCAATTGGCTGGCCGCTCTTTTCAATTCCATTGCGGTCTTGATCGTCGTTTATATAGGAGGAGTCATTTTAATCAATCAAGTCTAATAAACATGAAAACGAAAAAGAAACAGAAGAAAAAACTATCGAAACTAATAGAAAAAACAAGGCAATCAACGAAAAATATCGCGTCCTATCGATTGGCGGGGAGGCGAGGTGAGTACGGTAATTGCAGTGGCATTTGCCGCATGCCGCAAGGGAGAATGCCGCAATCGGGGAGAAGTTCTGTTACCCCTGTTAAGGGCCTCTACTGCTTTTGTATCCAATTAGACATTTCCGCTCAGAACATTCGAAGAACTTTTTGTTGGATCGGTATCATGCTGAAGAGCTCATTGTCCATGCCATTTTGGATTCAGCAGAACAACTTCCAACACTAAGTGGGTATCATTATGAACTGAGCACCAATACCTTGCGATGCGTAGGATAGGGCGTTCGGGAGTTGTTCATACGTAAGATGGCTTTCAGTGCGAATTAAGAACCTGTTTTAATGGTCGGTGGTTCCTTCTCTAATGAACATTTGCTTGCATACTTGAAACCCTGTGGCAAAAGAGTGCTTTGATTGCCGATGTCGACGTCACGAGGATAATCCCTGTACTTGTAAATATGAACTCGGAGAGACGACTACATTTATCCGCGATGAGGCAGAGCGATAACGGATGTGCCGAGCGCATGTATCTTGTTGCCCGCTAATGGTGGAGAGGCAGTTGAGCGCAGCGTCCATTAAGCACCAGCAGCTGTCGCCGTGATGGCATAATTAGGAGTGGAAGGGCGTCCCCGCATAGTCGGCTAAAATCGATCAGGCCCAATCATGTCTTCGAGTTTCATATCCAGCTACAATGAGCGTTGGTCTCTACTGAGATGCTGCGTGCTCGTGTAGACCTTTGCGGTGGATAGTATCCGTGTGATAAGGGTTCCTCACGTAGGTCCGGAGCTGGTATGTTAAGAAATCTCATCCCTTCTTCAAGGAGTGGAACTAGAAAATATGATAGGACGTATAGGATGTTACAGGGCTACGTAACAGGGCTTACCTATTACGTAGGTGGTGCCTTGGTGTTTTGACTGCCTCCACGACAGAGACATCCAACATTTCTTTCGTTGTATGTCAAGTCGTGCGTCCAAGGGCGCGCGCGGCAAGTTGCGCGGCGAAGATCGTGGCGAATTTGGACAACTCTGGCGGCCATCATTGGGGCCCAAATCTGAAGTAGTGTAGATAAGTAAGGTCAGCTGATCCTACTACTCTACTGTACTTCAAAATTGGGCTCAAATAATAGGCGCTAAAGTCGTCAGAATAGGTATGAATTTCGCCGCGCAATTTGCCGCGCGCGCCCTCGGACGCACGAATTGACCGTTTCCCGTTGTATCGTAATCGGGCCCTTGAAATTTTATTAGTTCTTCCGATGCCGATGAAACAGCTGGAAGTTGGTCCATTTGCTATCATCCTACTAAATTGATCGCATGCTGAAAAGCTGTGGGAAACTACCGGACCTCGTATTCGTGGAGATGTGCAAAGTGTGCAAGTTCAGTAACGTGGGGGGAAAGGGATCCCTAAAGGAAATCGCCAGAAAAATTCCGGATCGGTTGCTTGCTACAGTACCGTAGCTACAGTGAGATAAAAGGATAGAGGTGATGCAGTGGCAAGTATCAGATTGCAAGGTGATAGGGCCTGGCCTGATGTTGGTGTAGCGTGATGTGAATTCATATGTGAGTGAACAGACAGCAGGTGGTATATACATATTTTATTACCCATATATCAAGTTGCATGACATGGCTGGGTCAAAGAGTGGCCAGGACACGTTAGCGAGCGCCGACGCGATGGGCGCTACACACAGAGCTAGACGAGCGAGATGGACTGGATTCTGTCTTTTTTTTTGCTGAAAATAACGAGAATTGATTAGCCTGATTAGCGTTTGTTTCGTATCGTCTGATGCTTCTTCGTTTGGTGACGCCATTAATTGATTTGGTGCCTTCGGTATGGAAGCGTCAGCTGGTTTTGAACGTGCAGAATAAAGTTTAAGACGGTCTAGATGAACAATTTGCCGCTTTTGGCAACCTACCAAGTCAGTGATCATAATGTTATGGCGATCAATCTCTTTGACCGCGAAAGGGCCTTTACATCGGTTTGCAAGAAAAAAAAACTAAGTTGAAGTATCCTAAATGTATATCTTATTTTGTAAGTCGTATCCTATCTTTTATTGCGCTGTTTAGTTCGCACTTTCGTTCCCCCACAGATATGATGGTATTTTGCACACCGACTGCAAATTGGTCTGCAATGTTATCCGAAACGAGCACTGGACGTGGAAGAAGTTCAGGGAGGACATCGCTTCATGGGATCGAGCATATGCAGTGCACTATGAAGAATGGGCTGTAACACCTGTAATTGTATTAATACTGAAATTGTAGGCAAATACCATTGGTTGTAAAAAACAGACCATATTTCCA